TTAAAATAAACTCATGACGTGCAGGTGGTCATCGACACACAACTGTCACAATGCCAGTCCAATGTCCACTTTGCAACAGACGATGCGCCTCGCAGAGTGCCTACGTACAGCACATGACAGTTCACACGGGAGAGAAGCCGTTTGAGTGCACCGTGTGCCACAAGAAGTTTTCTCAGAGACATTACCTAAAGATACATCTCCGAACTCACACGGGGGAGAAGCCGTTTGAGTGCACATTGTGCCATAAGAAGTTCTCCACACCCCATAATCTGAAGTCACATCTCAGAACTCACACGGGGGATAAGCCGTTTGAGTGCACATTGTGTTACAAGAAGTTCTCTCAACCCCACAATCTGAGGACACATCTCAAAACTCACACGGGAGTTAAGCCATTTGAGTGCATAGTGTGCCACAAGAACTTCTCTGAAGCCTGTACTCTAAGTACACATCTCAGAACTCATACGGGGGAGAAGCCATTTAAGTGCACAGTGTGCCTCCAAAAGTTTTCTCAGGACAGTCACTTAAGGAGCCATCTCAGTACTCACACGGGGGAGAAGGCGTTTGAGTGCACAGTGTGTGACAAGAAGTTCCCTTATCCTCATAGTCTAAAGACACATCTCAGAACTCACACGGGGGAAAAGCCTTTTGAGTGCACAATGTGCCACAAGAAGTTTTCTCAGAAAGTTCACTTACAGATTCATCTCCAAACTCACACGGGGGAGAAGCCTTTTGAGTGCAGAGTGTGTCACAAGAAGTTTTCTCACAGACCTCACTTACAGATTCATCTCAGAACTCACACGGGGGAGAAGCCGTTCGAGTGCACAGTGTGCCACAAGAAGTTTTCTCACAAGCAAAATCTGAGGACACATCTCAGAACTCACACGGGGGATAAGCCGTTTGAGTGCACAGTGTGCCACAAGAAGTTCGCTTACCAGTCTCACTTGCCGAGGCATCTCCGAACTCACACGGGGGAGAAGTCATTTGAGTGCACAGTATGCGACAAGAAGTTCTCTCGTCCTGATACTCTGAGGACACATCTCAGAACTCACACGGGGGAGAAGCCGTTCGAGTGAACAGTGTGCCACAAGAAGTTTTCTCAGAGACCTGACTTGAAGAGTCATCTCCGAACTCATGCGGGGGACAAGCCACAAGAAGTTGTCTTTTAAACGACTCTTAGAAACACTTCATCCAAATCACACGGTGGGGAAGCCGTGTGATTACGCAGTATGGTATAAGAAGTTCTCTACAGCCCCCCCCCCCCCACCTCCTGTGTGTTTTTGAGTGCGGTTTGTGCTCAGTGTGCTAGACAAAGCTTTTGTATGTAACTAAAAGCATGTAATTCTTTGACGATAGTTGTTCAACGATAGGCTCAATTTGAATTTAAATTTACTGTGAGTTTACAACGTTTATGAAAAGCCGTTGGTCACGTTCATTTATTTGATTTTCGGTATAATTTTATTTGGGAAAGAACCATCACTCTCCCGTCAGAATCTGCTGTAGTGAAATCTGTATTCATTAAAATTCTTTTATGTATAATAAACATTTTAGCAAAACTAAATCGCAA